ATCACTCCCACTTGATCAAACCATTACTCCCACTAATAAAGTTATTCTTGAGCATAAATGATATACACATTAATGATCCTCAAGTCCAACGTAACTAATTTAACAAGGATTATAATTCCCCATCATAGTTGGACATGTTAAATATGTACATGTAACAGACGCAATTTCCAACTACTTAAACAAATTAAATTGCTTTAGTTGAAATTTGGCTAGATATGTACAATTTCAATATAAGGATCCAAAAGTATATCATGTCCAAATTTAAAAGCTCTACTGTGGTTGGGCTGAAAAACCAAGTAAGCCACCTACAATAACAATTTCAAGTTACAAAAGTTTTGGAGGTTAACAAATTAAAATACATGTGTTGCCAATGCAACCCATGCGACATAGAATTATAACTGGCCTTAAAGTAGGCCAGTTATAATTCTAAAATTGATATAATAAAATTTTATCTAGATCATCAATTTAAACAGAAGAATCCAGTGACATAAAACTTGCCCGTAGGCTAAACATTTATTCGATTAGACTCAACTGAGACTTTATGATAATCAAATAGAAGAATTTAGTGACACAAAACTTACTTGTGGGCTAAAGTTTTGTTCAATTAGACTCAACTAAATCTTTACGATAAAATTATTATCAAAGTGATAGAAGAATCTAGTGACATAAAACTTGCCTGTGGGCTAAAGTTTTATTCAATTAGATTCATCTACAACTTTATGATAAAACTATCAAACCATGTTCCTTTTCTTAATTCATGTGGGTAAATTAAGAAATATGATTCGATATTTTATCCTAACTATTTACATTAATATAATAAAATTTATGTGGGTAGATTTTATTATACTTTATGTAATTAGTCACAAAGTGATCAAAATAATTTCAGTTATGAATTTGTATTGATCACTTGATATTTGTACACAAAAGAATATTAATGTACTAAGCTATTAATCCAATTTTATTTTTCATGCATAATAAATACACATAAAGAAACTAGACTAATACCACAAGATGTACACATAAACATATTCTTTGAATATGTACATATATCACAACTTTATGATAGAAGACGCCAATTTATTTATATTATAACCATATGTTAAATAAATTGACTTTCCTATCTGTAATGATAAAACTCACCAAAACTATATTCCGATACATAATTGCCTGTGGGCTAAATTACGATCATAGTTTGGTGTTTTTACCCTAATTAATTATATAAATATAACAAAATTACATCTGAGCTAAATTTTATTATATCATATAATTAATCACAATCAATGCGTCTATGACGATATGTGATCTCACAAAATTTCAATTAAAGATACTGGGGCTACTACTTAATTAATCAAAATTATAATATCACTAGACGATTTTCTTAATATCTTAGGCATCAACTTTAAAGCCTAAAAACAATTCCGTAATATGATAAACAATTCCAAGTATACTCCCAAGAAAGTTGGTTGGATCAGAGGCTCATTAAAAATAACCAACTCCTTAGACAAAGTAATGTTTCAAGGGAACTAGTAGCACATTGGCCCTTCCCGAGAAACTTTTCACCGGTTCATGTTCTCTCACACTAAAGGCATAATTGACGAGCAATCTTCCCAAATCTTTAATAGTTCACCTATGGAAAGACTTTTAATGTCAAGTGAACATTCTAGACGGTCTAAATTAAAGGTGCTAGAACATAATGCAGTACCGTGTATAATTCCACACATAAAGCTCACCTTAACAAGGAATTATTATAATTCCTAACTTATACAATTTCTAAAGGCACAATTAAATTCACATAACTAGAAAAATATAATGTTATGATAGAAAACATTTATTTATGAAATTCAATAAGCTCATTCCAAATAAATTGTGTACACCATAATAACAATTTAAAATGAGCTATAGAACTTAAAACTATTATTCAAATAACAACATAAATCCAAAACTTTAAGGATTATAAAATTTGAATAATAATTTATAATAACCATATATTTTTCAATTATTAAGAAGTTTTAACTTGTAGACCCAATACAAAAATGATTCACAATGCATATAGTACGTACACTTTATAAGAACTAGCTTAAAATTGTAAATTCTAACCATATCAAAACCATATGATATGTTGACATTTACGAATTAAATTCTCACAAAACTAAATTGCATAATTTAAACAATAATATTGTGCCATTAATTTAATTATATGCATAAAATAAACTCAAAAATATGAATATAAAATCAAATATTGATACTTAATCAAAGTGGGCATCACAATCCAAAAACAATAATGATACAATGTTACGACATATTGATTCCTCAGTTCAAAATCGATAATCGTTATTACTGTAATAACAATTACGTGACAATCATAATTGAACAATCAATTTCCTCAATCGTAACCCCTGACATTTAATAGCAATAACTATAACATTATCATTATTAACACTATGTTTTGGACCAAGAATGAAATAGTTTCAAACTTATGATTTCAAATCATACTATCAAAATTCAAAACAAATGATGAAAGTAACGGCATAAAACATTGATCCATCGGTTTAAAAAACCAATAATCGTTATTACTATAATAATTCTAATAATTATTACATAACAGTAATAATGGAATAATCAGTTTTCTTAATTCTAACCGAACAACATTTAATCATAATAATGATAATCATCGTTATTATTAAATGTTACATAATATCATCATTATTACTATAAAAGTTTTGGACAAGCAAATTCAAATGTATTTCAAAATATGATTCTTAACATCATAATCTAAATTATTATATGGCAATACTAAAATGTAAAATAGTATCCAATTACCATAAACATATGCCTTTAACTAAAATGTAAAACAGTATCCAAAACTTTAAGGATTATTAAATTTGAATAATAATTTATAATAACCGTATACTTTTCAATTATTGAAAAGTTTTAACTTGTAGGCCCAATACAAAAATGATTCCACAATGCATATAGTAAACTTTATGAGAACTAGTTTAAAATTGTAAATTCTAACCATATCAAAACCATTTTTTTTTTTTTTTGAAAATATATCAAAACCATATGATATGTTGACATTTACGAATTAAATTCTCACAAAACTAAATTGCATAATTTAAACAATAATAGTATGCCATTAATTTAATTATATGCATAAAATAAACACAAAAATATGAATATAAAATCAAATATTCATACTTAATCAAGGTGGGCATCACAATCCAAAAACAATAATGATAACAATGTTACAACATATTGATTCCTCAGTTCAAAATCGATAATCGTTATTACTGTAATAACATTACGTGACAATCATAATTGAACAATCAATTTCCTCAATCGTAACCTCTGACATTTAATAGCAATAATTATAACATTATCATTATTAACACATATGTTTTGGACCAAGAATGAAATAGTTTCAAAATTATGATTTAAAATCATACTATCAAAATCCAAAACAAATAATGAAAGTAACGGCACAAAACATTGATCCATCGGTTTAAAAAATCAATAATCGTTATTACTATAATAATTCTAATAATTATTACATAACAGTAATAACGGATCGGAATAATCAATTTTCTTAATTGTAACCGAACAACATTTAATCATAATAATGATAAGCATTGTTATTATTAAATGTTACATAATATCATCATTATTACTATAAAAGTTTTGGACAAGCAAATTCAAATAAATTTCAAAATATGATTCTTAACATCATAATCTAAATTATTATGGCAATACTAAAATGTAAAACAGTATCCAATTGTCATAAACATATGCATTTTCCAAAATTGTGATTCAAAATCTCACTCCATAATTTAAAAATGTCAAATTATGACAAAATTGCTAGAAATCCATAACTACAATAAATTGTCATAATCGTAACATGACATATATTATAACAATTAGGAGACTTAAAATTTAAAAAAAAAAAAAAAAAACAATTACCAAAACCGCAAGCCTTTAGAAAAGTTCTTTCGGAAATTTTTTTACAACTTAATAAAATTAAAATTCAAAAAATATTAGTTGAAAAATATAATAACTAACATTTTCAACTGTAATGAGTCTAGATAAAGACATAATAAAAATAGCTTGCGGGCATAACATTGTTACCACAATAATCAGTAATAATATATGAAAAATAGTTACAGATCTCATATAGCAGTTATTATTAGATCAATCAAAAGAAATGATATTAAAAAGCATATAACATCATTTGAAATGTTAATCAAATGCTGCTACCAAAGATGACATGTCAATTCTTAAGATATAGATCATCATAACAGCAATGAATATACCAATTTTATTGTTAGCAAAATAAATAATAACATTTATGTATGAAATGGAAGATATTACAAAAGCTCAATGGATATTAATGGCGCAATTATAATCAAACCATATAATCAATATTATTCTTAATAATTTCACAATCCCTCACCTTCACAAACAACAAATCTCATCAATCAAAGTATCAAACAACTTCGACAGTCATTCATCGGCCCTAGGTATTGTTGTGACTTCAATGCTTTGCCCATCTTGCGATTTTTAAAGTTATTAAGGATTTATAGTTGAATTCAAAACTATATAGTATGTAAATTATCAACATTCAGTATATAAATTATGAATTTTGAATTCGAGTTCTCATTGTAAGGTAGACTCAAGTCTAAGAAATAATTTGCCCCTAATTAATACCACTCTCCAATTTCCAAAATTGGGTGGGTGTAACCGTGTAAGGTTGAATGCATCAGATACACAAATTGATAATTGTATATAGAATCTATTTATTTATTTACTTTATGTGGAATGCTGTGTAGACCGTTTTATATTTGTCATATGTAATTATATTTGAATACTATATATTAAGAGCAGTGATATGTATGGGTGGGAACTAACGCCATTAAAATTGGTGGAGACTGAGAGAGTGTGTTCACACTGAGAGAAAAAACATGTCGCAGCAGGCAGACTACGAATCCTACCCTCCGCTGTTTCGTCCGTCGTCTGTCAACCCAAACCATGGCGGCGTTGAGAAAGGCTCGCCGGAAATGGAGGCGGCGGCGGAAGGAGACGGCGTTCCCGTCATAGATTTTGAGTGCATGAAGGACGGGGAAAAGGTAACAGAGGCATGCAGAGAATGGGGTTTTTTCAGGTTGGCGAACCACGGAATCCCAGAAAGTTTGATGAGTGAAATGTTGGAACGTGCGAGGGAGTTGTTTTCCATGGCCTACGAAGCCAAGCAGGCAGCGTTCAACAGCGGCGCGGCATCCTACATCTGGGGCACGGCGGCGGTGACGCCGTCAGGGGCGGCGCTGGCCGCCAGCAACTTCCATTGGATGGAAGGGCTGAACATTCTGCTAAGCAAATTGCCGCAGCTTCATTACGAAGATCCGATGCTCGAATCTTTCAGGTCAGCTTTTCGATCACTTTATCCAATCATTGGATATGTTTTTTTTTTTTTTTTTTTTTTTTTTTTTTTGTATACATCATTTGTCATGCTATGATACTCAATTTAGTTATTGACTATAATAGTTTTGTTTGATTTCTTTTTAAATGTCATTTTTTTTTTTGTTTGTGTTTAATTGGTTTATGGATTTCCATGATTTTACCTAATTAAATCATTTGTAAATGTAGTTTGATAATTTTTTTTATATTAATACACAATTTAGTATTCGACTATGATTTTATCTAAATTAGTCATCGACTATAGTGGTTGATATCCAATTTAATCATCGACTAATATATGATTTTTCTCGATTTAGTCATTGATTCTATTCGTTGAGGACTCAATTAAGTAAAGCTATCAAAGTCGATGACCCAATTAACCATAAAGACTAAATCAGAGAAAGTCATTATAGTCAAGACCTAAATTGTGTATTAACTCGTTATGTTCTATATGGTTTGATTCTTACAAATAAAAGGTATAGAATTTATATGGTTGTGAACACTCGTACACAAACACTTTAGAGAATCTGTAGACTATTAAAACATATATCAAGATATTTATATCATTTAGTAAGACTATAGATCTGAAATTATGAGATCTTCGGAAATAAAACCACTCAGGTGTGGCCTAAATCACTAAATGGCCCATGTAAAGTCTTTATTGTTGTTGTTATTGTTGTTGTTGTTGTTGTCCTCACCCCATCTTTGTATTGGTATTTTGTATTTGAGAATCTTACATGCACCCTCATTTTCTGTTCCATTTTTACTCCATACTTAGGTAATTTGGTCATATTAATTAATGTAGAAAAAAGCGTGGGTCACTGTTTTTATTCAAAGTTGTTACTTCTACTAATAAAATCATAACATGTAACGAAAGTTTTACTGTGTAATTAAGAGTATATGTATCATATTTGTTTGTATTTTTGGGTGTAGATCCTTGGTAGAAGAATATGAAAAGCATCAAGTTAGGGTGGGGAAGGCAATATACGAAGCATTGTGGAGGAAAGTTGAGTTGGGAACATTAAAGTTGTCAAAATACGATGAATCTTCAACAAGGTATTTCTCAGAAGATACTGGAGTATTACGTGTACACCGATACCCTCGGTGTTTGGAGGCTAATCGGGCATGGGGTGTAGACGAACACACTGATAGTTCACTCCTCACAATCTTGCACCAAGATCTTGTTGGAGGGCTTCAAGTCTACAAGGATAATCAATGGATCCAAGTCAAGCCGATCCCCAACACCCTCATTGTCAACATTGGAGATATGTTCCAGGTTTCATCTTTGTCTTTTTGTTTTTACTTTAAATAAAATGAAACTTTTTTTTTGCCTAAAACTCTAAAAATGAGGGGAGAATAATAATGTGTGATCGATGTTCTCTTTTTACCTTAAAATTGTCGACAAGTAAAAGTGCATTTTGTTTGAACTTATTGTAGATTAATTACATGGTTGATGATTTGCAGGCGATTAGTGATGACAAGTATATTAGTGTAAAGCACAAGGTGAAAGTGAACGAAGAAAATGAGAGAATATCTGTGGGATATTTTGTTTTCCCAGAAGATGATGTCGTGATTGAGAGCTCCAAGTACAAGCCCTTCACTTATGCCCAATTTCGGGCTCAAGTGCAACATGACATTAAGAGTGTTGGCTTTAAGATTGGTCTGCACAATTTCAAGCGTTAGTTTTCAACTCTTTTAATACCAATACTCATATCCATCTCTGAATAGAGTGAATTTTCCTCAAATGTCATATGAAATATTTTGCAATTCCTGTTTTATGTTATTCTCAAAAACTTATATTTGAGACTTCAATTCAGTTTGGTTTGGTCTTTTTTACTTTTCTTTCCTTTTTTGGTTGAAAATGTTTTGTTTTAAGTTAAAAATGTTTGCAAAAGAAAGAAGAGTTTAAGAATACTGTTACCCACCTCCTAATATTTCTTTCTTAGTATGGTAGTATGACTCGTATCTGACTGAATTTTATTATATTTAATTAATAAATTCTTTTTTTTTTTTAACTACTTGTGATCGATGCGATCAATTAATTAATGGATACTCAATGAATAATGTAAAGAATTATATTGTTAGGTTTAGACAATTAGAGATAAATTAAACTTAAAACGTGGTGGAAATATTTTTTTGTTCCTTCCAATCATTATATTCCTGATATGGTTTCTATTCATTAGGCGTCCATGGGTTGATCAGCACAAATTAAAAAAAGTCAGATGGATGATGACATGCATGTAAGGAAGGGAAGTTTATAAGGAACATATATGAGGGATATGTGGACCGTAGAGATTAGAGAATGGTAAAATTAGAAAGTATATGAATGAAGACAAAATGTACAAGTTATTAATTCCACCAATTATATTAACACACCATTAATTCTAATAATGTTATATCCTAATAGGCTAATATACACAAGCCTATCTAAAGGAGACCATTATATCTTCTAGAAACCAAGGAACTGTTTTTCTAATTTTTAAAATTTTAATTTTATTTTTACATGTGGTTTCTTTTCTTTTAAAATTGAGGACTATAGTTGATTTTCAATGGTAGTGATGGAAAATACTCCCTCTTATATGTGACTCCTAGTTGAACTAATTATTTGAACAATTTGCAAATAAATTAAGTAAATTAATTATGTGGAGTTCATAGTTGAAGCAACTATGTATGTGTTTGTGTGTGTGTGTGTGTATATATATATATATCCTCAATTATTTGACTTCATTAAGGGTTTATGGTTGGATTCAGAGCTCTATAATATACTCCGTATTTGCTTAATTGATTTAATGTATTCTACTATTTTGGATTTTATTTGGGCAATGAAGGAATTGAAAGTTTCGTTCCTATACAATTTAAAATAGGGGTGCAAATGAGTCAAGTCACTCGTAAATTGCACAGCCAAAATTCGATTTAAGTTCGGTCAACTTTAATTTTGATCCGAGTTTGAGCTAAACTTAAACTCAAATATTTTTGAAAAGTTAATTACTTTATTTTCAAATAACACAACACGTAGCTTGCAAATTTACTTGATTCTTTGATAAAAATTCAAAAATATAAAATAAAATAAAAATGAAGATTTACCTACAGGTCAAATTGTCAATAAAATTCCTCAAAATTTGCAAAAATGCAACTAGAAAATTAGGGCAAGATTCGCAAGTAATTAGAGCAAAATTACAAACAAATCCCAGAAATTCTTGATATGGCTCACGATTAGGACCGACTAGACGTCAGGATGATGAAGAAGAAAAAGGTTGAGATGACAAAGGTCAATGAATATCAATGGCGCAATTATGATCAAACAATATAATCACTATTCTACTCAACAATTTCACAATCCCTCACTCTCACAAATGAAAAATCTCATCAATCAAGCAACTTCGACAGTCATTCATTGGCACTAGGTAGTTACGTTGCAGCTTCGATGCTTTGCCCATCCTGTAATTTCTAAAGTTATTAAGGGTTTATGGTTGGATTCATAACTTTATAATATATTTATTTACTTGATTTAATGCATTTTACTATTTTGGATTTTATTTTGGCAATGAAGGAAAGTTTTGTTCCTATACAATTTAGAGTTAAAAATAAGGATGCAAATGAGTCAAGTTGCTCGCACGGTCAAAGCTCGACTCAACTTCGATAAACTTTTCTTCATTCGCCGGACTGGGGGTATTCTTGTAGCTTTAGCTCCTTTTTTTTTTTTTTTTTTTTTTTTAAGGTTCATTTTTTTTCGCCCGCCTTTCCGTCTTACACTACCCCACTTTCTTTCTTTCCTTTTTTTAGTTTTGAAACCAAAAAGCTCTCCTTTGTTTCCTTCTCTTCGAAGTCGACGTGATCATTCACGGCAGACTGAGGGGGCCACCGGCAAAGTAAACGGACATGACCAACGTCACAACCACTGAGCCGAGGTCGATGTCTTTGTATTGTCTTTTTCTTTCTCCTTTTTTTCCGTGTTTTAGTTTATGTTTTTTTTTTTTTTTTGATGTCTTTGTTGGGTGTTTGTTGGTGTGCAACTTCGTATGTGGTTGCATATGTGTTCTTGATGTCCGCCTTGTCGAATTGCTCATTGTTATTTTCTAATTTTGTTAGGGTTTTCCGTTTGGGGGTTTTGGGTGTTTGTCTCCATTATGTCTATTTCGAATTGGGCTTATTTTGAAGAAAATTATGCGATTTTGTTAAGTTTTTGTTAGTTTGGATTTTTGGTGTGTGCTTGGTTTTTCGTTGATTTAAAAAAAAAAAAAAAAAAAAAAAAAAAAAACCTTTTTCGGTGCGTGAAATTTTTTTGTGGTTTTTACAGTTTATAGTTTATATTTTTGACTTATGAATCATCAAGCCACTCATATAACATATAATTTATAGAAGTAACCATTTAACAATTCAAAATTAAAATTCAAGTTTCAAATCCCTATAATCTAAATTTATAACATCTAAAGTCCCTAAATTAAATTCCCTATTCCTAACAGAATTGTGTCTCAGTCACTCCTTCAAGCTGCCAAACTTAACTAAAGCGACGGTCGACGACGACGCCCTGCAACGACAATTGACGACGAAGCTAACAGCCAACGCTGCCGCCTCCCTCAGTCCCCTCGCGAGGCCACGAATCTACGACAAAGGCGACATCTGACGACGATGCTAGAAGCCAATTACACTACCCCCCTCCCTTGCGAATCTAGGTAGTGTCTACTTCATTTAGTTGATTAATTGATAGGAAAAAGTATCAAATTGGCCCCCTAAGTCGAGTGGATAGTGCAATTGGGTCCCTTAAGTGAAAAAAGCTCCATTCAGGTCCCCTAAACCTGTAAAATTGTTCAATTAAGTCCAAGTTGACTTGTTTATCAGGTTAAATGCATACGGTGTTGACAAGTGTCTTTATTATTATTTTTTTAAAATATTATTTATTATAAATTAATTAAAATAATAATAATAATAATTAAAAATATTTATATATATATTAAAAAAAAAAAA